GAATGGGGCGTTAAAAGGGGGGGATTTACAGTGGGGGGGGGCAACGGGTGGGGGTAGCATGGTGGTTTGCACCAATATTTGCACTGTTTGCACCGAATATTTGCACCCGAATTTGCAGCGTTTGCATCGCGATTTGCAGCAATATTTGCACCAAGTATTTGCACCAAAATTTGCAGTTTGCACGGTGATTTGCAGCAATAATTGCACCACAATATGCACCAATTTTGCACCAAATATTTGCACCAAAATTTGCACCATTTGCATTGTGCAATATTGCAATTTGCAGCAATCTTTGCTGCACTGTGCAATATTGCAATTTGCAATTTGCAGCAATATTTGCACGATTTGCACCAATATTTGCACCATTTGCACTGCGATTTGCAGCAGCATTTGCACCACAACATGCACCATTGTTTGCACTGCATTTTGCAGCAATATTTGCACCACAACATGCACCATTATTTGCACCAAATATTTGCACCATTTGCTCTGCAATTTGCAGCAATATTTGCACCATGATTTGCACCAAATATTTGCATCGTTTGCACCACACTTTGCAGCAATATTTACACCATGATATGCACCAATGTTTGCACCGTTTGCACTGCAATTTGCAGCAGCATTTACACCACAATATGCACCAAATATTTGCACCAAATATTTGCACCATTTGCACTGCAATTTGCAGCAATATTTGCAGCAATATTTGCACCAAATATTTACAGTTTGCACCACGATTTGCAGCAATATTTGCACCACAATATGCACCAATATTTGCACCGTTTGCACTGCAATTTGCAGCAGCATTTACACCACAATATGCACCAAATATTTGCACCAAATATTTGCACCATTTGCACTGCAATTTGCAGCAGTATTTGCACTGCAATTTGCAGCAGCATTTGCACCACAATATGCACCAATACTTGCACCACCTGCACCGCAATTTGTAGCAAAATTGCACCAAATATTTGCATTGTTTGCACCACAATTCGCAGCAATATTTGCACCATGATATGCACCGTTTGCACCACAATTTGCAGCAATATTTGCACCACAACATGCACCATTCCTTGCACTGTCGGCGCAGCATTTTCCTGCAATGTTTGCACCGAAACGGGTGTAGTTTTTGCACGGTGGTGGCCTGTCCCCCCCCGCGGCGTTGCCAGGGCGCTGTCACCC